GTTGAACCACTGCAATTTCCAGGGCTAAGAAGAGGACCCCCACCCTCAGAGGGGTTGTGTGCTCAATGGTACTTCAAAGAAAACAAACTATAAAACTTTGCCCATCTGTGAAATGGTGCTGTCCAGCACCTAATGCTGTGTCCTGGGCATATTAAACACTTTAATAAAGAGTTGATTCGAATGAATGAGTGAAAGAATGAACAAGTGAGTGAGTGACTGAAAGGTTCCCAAGGTGTCCCTGATCTCAGGTCATTGCTGAGGACGTAGACTTGTGTGGGAGAGGAGTGTAGACAGCAGGCTGGGCGTGTCTGCACCCCCTGCTCTAAGGTAGCTTACACTAGAGGGCACAGCACACTGTTGTTGTTCTTATTGTTTTTTCTTGTGGAAATGCTTCTTTATATTGGTGCTGAGAATTTGTCTGAGATTTTCACAAAGAATGGTGGAATTTGTTTTTAGGATTATCTGGCATACATTAAAAGCAACTGACCTCAGAGCCAATAAGATGGAGTTACTTTGTTCATCGTTTTTGATTTAATCAGGATCAAAAAGAAAATTGGGTGTGAATGTATCACTTTTAAAAGAAATTTTGATTTACTTATTGAGGGTGGAGAAAGATCTATTCCATGGCCCACTTGTTGACTAATTGTATTGGATAAAGCCAGGAGGAATTATGGGGCTAGTGACCTCCAGAGGTCAAACTCTGGAGAAAACATGACATGTATGAGATTTCCATTTGATTTCTGTTGCATTTTTCTCCTCTAAACTACCTCCTCTCCCCATCTCCCATGTCTTTCACTGATCTGCTGGGTCTTAAGCTGCTGGAACCAAAAGTAAGTACAGTCAACCACATCCAGAGGGCACTTTTCATTGACTTCGTGGTGTACATTGCACTCTGAGTCATAAGGACTTTTTGAGCAATTTGTTGCTGTCTCTGCAAGTCTGTCTCTCTCTTGCAGTACTTTTGATTTTGCTTTGAATTTAAACTACACCCAGTGTAGTGTCACAGATGCTTGAGAAACTACTGAATTAACCAAGACACACTGGTACGTCCTGATGTCTCTAAGTAACTCTGGGTAAAATCCCTCCAGTCCTGAGCCTTAGCTTCCACTGAAGTTCTCATCTGGGCCTGGGAGGAGTTCCAGCTAGAAAAGCAGTTGTCTTCACACTTGAGGAGAGGAGGGAAGTGGTGTGTTTGAAGAGGGGCAGGAAAGTCCCTGGAGAGAAGACATACTACTGTGCCCCAGGTGAAATCTTTCTTCCAGGTTACCCTTATAAATTTCGGATACTTTTGGTGGAGACATACTAAGTTTGGGGTTAAATGGTTTTGCCATCCAGCTTCCAGCTAAGATCCTGAATAAGTCTGACAAAGAAAAGTGATTCTGAAAGAAATCTCAAAAAGTGAGTTTTTGAAAAGAGTTTTGACTGTTGAAAACATCACTTACATGGAAACTTCAGGGTGACTATTTTAAACAGATAATGCTTACTTGATGTAGAAATTTTGAAATGTTTCTAAATTAAGTTTTTGTGTCCTTGATACAATTTTTCATGTTGTGTTACTTTCATTTTAAAAATGAATGCTTTGTTTATACTTTCAAAAACATTTGAGTTTTAAATTTAATTTTAAAATATTTTAAAATTAAGCAAATTTTAATATTTTCTTGGAAGGGGAACTTTGATTAATTTTTGGACTGATTTACAAATTAATCATTAAATCCCTGTAAGCATTTTTAAACTGAGTATATAAACCTAATATATTCAGTTTTCTTTCTAAATACATCTTTTGCCCATCTAGCAAACATATTTTTCTTAAAATTATAACTACTCATTTTTAATTGGTGTTATAATACTGGCTCAGAATTATAATGGGCTAAATTCTGTTAATATTTACAAGTTCCCTAAAATGCACATGTGACTATAACACCCAAATATTAGTATTGTAAGACTTTAAGGGTGTGATATGCTAACATACATCTGAAGGGATGTGATCTTGTACCTATGAATTGCATACAGTGTGGTAAATCAGTTACTGTAATTGAAAAAAATTTCTGATTTTTTCTGAGGGAGATGCATACCCATTGAAGAAAAATAATGCCATTCCAAACAATTTTACAGTGACATCACAAACAGTTGTTAGGATTGCAATTTCAGATGAATGAGATTTCTTAGTGATAAAGGGACCAGAGGCCAGGAAACCAACTGGATTTGTCCTGTGACCATAATGGGGCTCATGGAGTCCCTCCCAAGTTGATCAACACTTAGTCAATGCTCACCAGATGTTTAACTCATATCATTTCCTCAGATCTGAGTCTGACTTTTAGAATCTCTCATCTACATTTTGCTTTACCACCCACTTGGATTCAGCTTCTCTTTCTACTGATTCATTATATGTGTATTTTCAAATTCTTCATTTGGAGCCACAAGTCAAAGAGTTTGTCATTGAATGACAAATGTTGAATCTTACTGTTTTATCTAGTTCTGTTGCCACTGTCTTCATAAGGTTATGCTAATGATAAAAACCAATCACAGTGTTTGTTATTCCTTATCAATGTAAATGAGTGGAGACCATTCAAGCCTCATTCTGAGAAATTCCAAAGAAGCCACTGAGTGGTCCCACCCCCCATACTTCCCCTGACACATTCATTGGCCCACAGGGGAGCTTTGCTTCCTTACAGCATAGCTATCATCGTCAAATGGAATTCAGAAAGTCTTTTCCATGGAACATTGCTAGGCAAGTTGCTTGGTTCCCATGTGAATGTAGCTCAGTGCCCCACTAAGCCTGGAGTATGACTCTAGCATGGTCATAGAGGACAATGGGCCTTCACAGCCTGCCTGACTCACATACTGTTGGGCAATTCTAGGCAAAATCTGGAGGCAAGTGAACAATTCTGTTTTCTAAAATTCTCTTTATTTCTAGTATTCTTTTTTTACCTGGTTCTCCTCTGTCTTCCAGAAAGAAACTTTCTGTCCACAACTACCTTCAATCTGCTGAGAAGGAAGGATAATGTGATTACTTAAACTGGAATTCTGGTTGATGGCTAACATTTGATGGTCGGGGACCAGGAGTGTGCCCCCTAGTAGCAGCAGAGAACTGCTCGGTGCATGGGCAGAGGTCATGGGGTGGGGCATTAAAGAGGACAGTCAGGAAAGACTCTGTTGTTCTAGCCAATAGATATGGAAGAAAGTCAGGCTAAACAGTGATTCACAATCAACTCCTTTCTTTTCCCCACAACTTAGGCTTTGGATTAGTCTGGGGTCCTTGATTTTCTCTCCTTTAAACTGATCTTCTAGGGAGTTCTTCTGCCCTTCAGTGACACATCTCTACCCAGCCAAGTGACCAAACTGCTCTATGGGCCAAGTGTGGACCCTCTCTGTAAGATTCCCCCACAGTTCCACTTTGCTTCCAGCCCAAAGACAAGTCAAGATGAAGTGGGCTTGTGGAGAGCTCATGGTTCCCTTTATCATTTTAGGAGGTATTCAAACAATATCCTAGTGATATTTGGTGGGGATCAAGCAGAAAATTCACTTGCAGAAATGGGAGTGATGACTTTGGTTGACTCTTTTCATGCTCAAAGGCCTCTTCCCACATCATATCAAATGTACTCAAATATGCTTGCATTTCATCCCAAAGATATTATTTTTGTTGTTTAAAAAAAAAAAAACTTGAGGCCTTCTCTGGTGGCGCAGTGGGTTAAAGCACAGCACTAAGTAGCTTAAGCCACTTCCGCATGAGTTCGATCCCCGCCTGCCCTGGAGGAGATCCACATGGCGTGGCAGACCTCTCCTGACCCGCCCGCTGCTCCCCTCAGCAGTGTACTCCATCGATCTGCCTGTTCTGCTCTCCACTTTGTCTCTGGTGAATCCTCTCACCCTCCGCATCTCTGGTCTGTACCTCAGTTCTGTGTGAATAAATAAATAAATCTTTTTAAAAAATAAAATAAAAATAAAAATAAATAAATAAATAAAAACTTGAGAGCTGTCCCTGGTGGCACAGTGGGTTAAAGCATAACAATATGTAGCTAGTCACAGACGCTTCAGGACGAGGTTGATCCCTGGCCAGGGAGGTGATACACAAAGCTCAGCAGACTTCTCCTGACCTGCCCTCTGCTCGCCTCAGCAGTGTACTTCGTCAGTCAGCCTGTTCTGCTCCCAACTCTGTCTCTGGTGAATCCTCTCACCGCCCCTGCACCTCTGGCCTGAACCTCAGTTCTGTACACATAAATAAGTAGCTAGAAACAAAACAAAACAAAAAAACCTTGAAGGGTATTTTATAATGCTGTTTTGAAATTATTTATTATAAAATATTTATAATAATTTATAACTCATGGCCATATCCAGTTGTCCCAATGCCCAGTTTGCCCCCTTTGTGTGGGATCATAATACCACCTTTGTCAAATACAGGTTCACATACACAAGAGTCTATTTTTCTTCTACAGTGTTTATCTGCTTAACTATCCCTGTGAGAATACCATCACCCCACCTGTCACCACAGCCTTTCCTTTGTAAAATTTTCTTACTCTTATTTTTATTCCATAAGAATTTTAGGATCAGTTTGCAACCAACCTCTGTATTGCAATCAAAATTGCGTTTAACCTATTGATATGTTCTGTATCTTCCAATCAACTTTTCTCATTATCTCTACAAAGATCTTGTAGGTCTTTTGTTAGGTTTGTTCCCAATGACTTTTGTTGCAGTTTATTTATGTTGGCATCTATTTAGATAAACATTTTTTAAATTGCTTGTTACAAGTATGTAAGAAAACTATTGATTTGGGCATGTTAATCTTGTTGAACTGTTATTAATTCAGTAGTTTACATGGGTAAGACATTACCAGGTCTTCCTGAATATACAAAATAAGCTCATATTTCCCAAGAACCAATGTGTGTTGTGACCAATGTGTGCCCAGTGATGTGGGATTGGGAGTACTGTGGGTTACTTGTAGGCGAAAGCTGGGAAAAACTCCCATGTGATTATTTTCTCATCTTCATCTTCTGCTGAAACAGATGGGTGATGCTGGAGTTGAGATGGCAAAGCCTGGACTGATGAATGACCACGAGGTGGAGAGACACTCGGAACCTCAACAGAGATAGAAATAATTGCTGTCATGGTAAGCCACTGATGTTTCAAGATTGTTACCACAGCATATTCCAGCCTCTGTTGACTGTTAGACCTCCTCTGTAGAGTCCCCTGGATGCTTTATGCGACCATTATAGCAGCTGTGAATAATGAGTTTTGTTTCTTCCTCTCTAATTCTTAGGTGATTAAATTTTCATGAATACCAAACTTAACAATTAATGAAGTTGACACAATGTTACATTTTGTAGATCTTTAATTAAACATTTATTAATTTTGATTTGCAGTTTTTTCTTTGTGTTCTTCCAGTGCTCAGATATTTGCTAGACACTTAAAAAGCTGACAGACCCCAAGCCCTGTATTAAGAGGCCTAACGGCTAACGAGGACCTGGTTAGGCTGATTGTCATTTTGTGAGCATAGCTGTCTAGGAGCTTATAATTCCAGAATGAAATAATAGAGCAAGCACAGGGTTCCTGACAGAGGGGGTATTCAGTTGGGCTTAGATTAGAAGTGACAACAGCACCTTGGGTGTCCTAGCAAACCCCACCAGAGCATCCCTTTGTTCCGGTTCATTCTTTCCTTTGGGTGGAGAATCTAAGTTGGTTTTCACTCTTTCCTTTTCTCACTTCTAGAATTTCATGACAGCTCTGAATATCTTACTATTGCCATTTTAACACTGTAGGTATGCTCTACTTCAAAAGGCCCACAATAATAAAACCTGACCTTATCAAAGAATATATGAATAGGAGGATGGTAATTTACTTTACAAAGGGTTCCCTGCCCCACAGAATGAATTCAACTTTGGTGTCCCTAAAATAGCCAGTTCCCTTGGTGCATGTTAAATATAATTCAATTTACAAAAATTTGATTTGCATATAACCTTTTCAGTAGCACATCCATTGTGCAAAGCAATGTACACTTGTAATTGGCTGCAAATTGCCAGGAGACCACCCTTGCACGTCTTGTTCCTCGATGTGCAATTCTTTTCTTACTCTCCACGGGTTAGTAGTGTCAAGGGGCGAAAGTTCTAGTTGTTTATCTGATGCTATCGACAATGCTGAGAAAGGCCATTTCTCAGTAATTTGGGGGCTGTGTGTGCTACCCACAAGTGAATGTTGTGCACTTAGAAGCAGGAGGTGAAGAAAGGTGGGGTGAGGTGAATAGGGTGCCAAGTGGGGTTCATGATCTGGCCTTATAGTATTGGCAGTGCTCTCTCTATCATGGCCTGACAGGCATCAGGGGCAAGTGAAATGCAACCAGGATCAAATTATGGTAAGGGTTTGGGGATTCTGTTTTCCCCACGAGGTAGTGGATCTCCTAAGGAAAACAGCACTAAGTGCAGTGGCCTGACATTAAGGGGGATAAGGGGCGTCAGAGTTGTCCCAGCAGCTGCAGCTGCCCCACCCCAGGGTTCTCCGTGTAGTATGTTCTGGGCACAGGAGTGCAGCAAGGGAGCAAGGCAGGCATGGCATTTTCTCATGCGTTATGTAAAAACCAAAAGTGGCATCTTTTTATGGCAAATTGAATTCAAGTAGATTATTGCCAGTGATGCCAAGTCACATCTAAAACTCTTTTCAACCTGAATATTAAAAACGCTGTCTGGCACATCACACTGTCTTTTCAGAAACAATCCCTTCCTCTCACATCCCCACCACCTCCCTTTCCCCGTGTCTGATGCCAGGGCCCTTCTCTTCTGATTAGGAAGTTCCCTAGGGGATTCATCCAGGACAGCTAACTGTTCTCCTTCCCTAGGCTTGCTTCAGGGGGTGTCACACATGTGGCAAGCCTCAGCCCTCCCTCCTGGAAAGTGTGGCATCCTCTGCCAGCTTGGGGAAGGTGTACTGAAAGGAACGAAGAGGCCCATCCATCTAGTGAGAGTATGTTGCGTGCTTATTTTTGTTTTTGCTGGAGGGAACACCTCCTTCTTCCCCATGCAGCAGAACGGTATCTCACACATCTCAAGTTCAACTCCCAAAAGGCACGGCTGGGTTCCTTCAGAATCTGATGCAGGTGTTCTAACTTGACTGCCCTAAACTTCTGGTGCCACACTAAACACAACTTGAAAACAAAGTTTCTGCTAAACCAAATACAAATACTATGATATTTCTTAGAAGCCCGAATTTTGGGGAGCCGATGAAACATTCTATGTCAGCCCACCTCCAGCAAAGACTTCACCATTTGACTAAATTTTATCTTTTGCTGCAGCAGGAGTCAGGCCTGGCACCCAGGGCATCTAGATTGGGTCTGGTGTGACTCCGGGCTGTGCTGTTAGCATTGCTGAACTTGCTAGTCTGAGCATCCAGCATTAGTCCCCAGTTAGGAAGTTGATAACATGAAGAATTGTGCCCTGTGGTGCTGGCCCTGGGAGGAGCAAAGCTGAGCAAGCTCTATCCAGGCGGCCCAAGTTCAGGAAAGAGGACACCTGGTGTAAGACCATCGTGCGTTCACATCCTTGCTTGGTCGCGTACAGCTCCTGCAAACCTGGAAAATGGGAAGGCCTGTGTGAGACACTGCCCGCAGGAAGAATGTGATGTCTCCCCTTGGGACAGTGCGGGCACTGATATGAGGCAGGCCTGGGTGGCTCCTATTATCCTTGGTAGTGGCATCAAACACGAGTCCCTGGTTGTGTTGACCCATTTTTAAAATATTTAAATCAGGCCCTCCCTGGTGGCGCAGCAGGTTAAAGCACTGCACTAAGAAGCTAAAGCCACTTCCACATGAGTTTGATTCCCGCCTGCCCCGGAGACGACCACATGGCGTGGCAGACCTCTCCTGGCCCCCCCGCTGCTCCCCTCAGCAGTGTACTTTGTAGATCTACCTGTTCTGCTCCCCACTCTGTCTCTGGTGAAGCCTTTCACCGCCCCTGAGCCTCTGGCCTATACCCCAGTTCTGTATACACAAATAAATAAATCTTTAAAAAAAATTTAAATCGATTGTGAATGTCTTCAATTTTGCATTAAGAACTTGATTTCCAGCTTCACTTAAAACAGTAGAAGATATGGCTCCCATGGCCACCTGGGCTGCAGCCCTCCTCTGCATAGTCGCATGCTCACTAGTTCAGCACAGTCTAGCGTCTCCACTCCCTAGTGTCATGCCCGCAACATTCTGTCACCGTGCCTGCTTGCATTTGTGGGCTTCTGAATTAGCAACCACTGGCCCACCAGGAATTAACTTGAGAATGTTGCTCAATGTGCTCAATAAATCCACTGCCCTCCCACCACTACCATATTTCCTTCCTCAGGCAGATTCGCCTTTTCTGAAACCAGGGAAGAGAAAAATCCAGGGCTAAGGGGAATGGTATGTGCAGCACTTCTCCATAAGACACCAAATAAAGCTTGTTTAAGGAGGCCCAGTCTTCAACGGTTGTGCCAACAGGACTAGATTGCATTTTCACCAAGCATCATCTACTCAAGCATTAACAGCCATGTCTTCACTAGCTATGGCTGTGTAATCAAATGCAGCAAGACTTAGTGACTAAAGGAATGTATTATTTGTCTGACAGTTCTGTAGCTTAACAAGACTCTCATCTGGGCTCTTAGGCCATCTGGTAGTTGTGGGGGGTTAAAGTCATTTGAACACTCCGTTGGGCCGAATGTCCAAGGTGGTTCATTCACAAGGTTGACAGTTGATGTTGGATTGGAAGCTCTGTTGGGCCTGTCCACTGAAGCAGGGTGTGTCCTCTCTGTGAGGTTTGGGTGGCTTAGTAAGTGGCATCTCGTTCTGGGGGGGGTAAAGTGGGGGCAGATGTCCCAAGAACAAGCATTCCAACAGGCCCAAGATTGAAGGCTTCTTTGTAAGTCACATAGTGCCACTTCACAAGGCTTGTGAAGACACAAGCTTTATAAGTCACATAGTGCTACTCTGCTGAATTTCACTGGTCAGAAACAAGTCATAGAATCTGCTAGATTTGGAAAAACAGGAGCATACACAGGTATGAATAATGGGAGGTGTGATTCACTGAGGGATCCATCTTTGGAAACTAACCACCACAGGCAGCATTGGTGAAGCTGGCCTTTATTTCATGACTGCTTTCACGTGTATGTGTTTCTTTTTTAGAACAACTCATCTCTCCCTTCAGCTTTCCCCAAGGTAAGATATTAATGAGATCATATTTGCACTCCCTGACAAAGTAATGCCTCCATATACAGCATACTGTTACTCTCAGTCTGACTGATCACTCCCACCTGGAGTCTGCACAAGATAGGCGGAGGGATGGCATTGCATATATTTCAACAACAAACAAAACTTCATTAAATCCATTGAAATAACACAGACATTCAGATTTAGTACAGATCAAATCCTATTACCAACAAATTGCATCGAATTGCCTCCAAAAATCTGTAGAACCAGATGTTTTCCAAGCCCTACTTCCTTTAGGCAAATACCCAATGTAAGCAACATGAAGGACTACCAGAGAATTAGAACATCCCCTGAGATTTGTTAGGATGGGAGTTGACTCATTTTCCTTTAGTCATAGGTTCAGAGATCTTAAAATCAGAAAGAACAAACCTTGCAGGATTCTTGAATATGAGCTGGCTGAGAAATGGGTCTCATTTAAATTGTAGAAAATGCCTCATTACGCTACTCTCAGACTCCCTTGCAGGCCCTGGGGAGATCCTGCTTGTTTCTGTGGTCAGCATCTGGGGAGCTTACAGTGTGAGAACACATCTGACAGGGAGGCACCTCACTCCCAAACCAGAGCCTTTTCCTAGGAGACTTCAGGCCACTGAACTTGTGGGCAGCACCAGAGTTGCTGTCATTGTACCACATTCACGCGTTTCCCCAAGCTAAGCCCCTGCTATCTGCTTTTTCTGGAGACACAAATTTCTTAGTAGCTTCCTGCTTTTTTCTGCTTGAAAGGCCCTGAAGGGTCCATTAGGTCAGGCCAGGTATACAGGTCACCCAGAAATGCTCCAGCTCCTGCAACCCTTCTCCTGGTGCAAATGTTCCCTGAGGTGCCACCACCCACTGAGCCTCTTTCAGAGACAGCCTGTTCTTACCTTAGGCAGCATCTTTCCTTCCTCTTAGGCGTC